AGACCCACACCTAACAAAACGAAACCCCAAAACTGTTCTGATCTCTTTTGTCCCCCAATTTTATTGAGATATAATTGAGAAAACTGTGTCTTCAAAGCATACAGCTTGATGATTTGCTAGACATAAACATTGTGAAATAATTGCCACAGTCAAGTTTGTTTTCTGCTTGTTGGGGATGTGTGTGTGTGTCTCCCCAGAACGCTTAGGCGCTTCATGCCAGAGTCCTCCGTGAGATGGTCTTCATCTATAAATAAGATCAAATCGTTTTCAAGCAGGGATCAGCCTTAGTGTAAGCTCAGGTCCCGAAAAAAATTTTGTTCTGGTCAGCATCCCTGCTTTTCCATACAGCATAGTTTCAGGGAAAACTCCATTTAAGTTTTGAAAGGAATTCACAGAGAGAATACTTATTTCGTGTTCTCCTTTCAAAAAGGAGGTCTACACCGAACCCAAGTTTCTCAGCGCGGATCCTGCAAACTGGAAAATCCTAATCTGAGCTGTGCCTCCGAAGGCGGGGTGTTTGTGACCTTGCACGGGCACGCACTGTCGGGCTACGGGATCTTCACGCACCCACAGCCCTGCCCGGCGAACGCCTGTCGTTTTTAAAGCAGCGTTCCCAGGGTGGAGTTGGGACGGTGGTACAGAGAAGCCTTCTAAAAGATGTGGCTGTCGTGTGTGTGGAAACGACGCTGCTTCTCCGAGCAGAGGTGGCCCCCAGGGGCCGGTGGCCACATCCCAAGCACACCGGGAGTGTGTTTGGATGCTGTCGGGGCCAGGACGCCGTGACCACATGGGCAGGGGCAGAGGGGCACATCTGCTTTGCCTCCTGCTCTGCCAGATCCCCGGGAGGGGTGGGCACCCTGCAGAGCTAGATGGGGTGGCCCTGCGCCGTCAGGGTCTCGCCCACACCCCCGGGCCCCTCGTTTATACAGTGTCCGTCACGGAGAGGATTAAATGGCAGCAGATTCTGGAGAACACCCGCCGCCCGGGTCTACCTGGCGAATAGCAGGTGCTCAGCAAATGTGAGTGCCCTTTACTCCGTGACCCAGATGGCAATCCTCAGATTGGGTTACCAGATGGGTTAGGGAACTAGGGAAGTTGCTCAGAAATGAGCGTTGCCGGAACTGTGCCGAGGACTGGGGGCGGAGCCAGGAAAGAACCCTGGGCCTCTGAATGGTGCCTGTGCTTTTCCCCACTGTCACCGTTTGGGGTGTGAAAACAGCCCATCCAAAGTCGTCCCCGCTCCTAGAACTTGCTCACCAGATACACTCCAAATTCTACCTTTAACCGTTCAATGCTGATGCCTGTCCCTACGAATAGAGGCACGGAAACGTAACCAGATACAACGTAAACACACCGTGTCCATCTTCTTTCTGTTCCAGTTCCTGCCTCCTGAGCCCGAGTGATCCCCCCGCCCCGTCCCCACACCCCCACCCCCACCCCCCAGCCTGAGACGGTGGTGAAAGTGCTGTGCGTGAGGAAGGGGACTTTGTAAGCGCTCCAGCATTTCGTTGATGGTACCTTAAGATGTTCATTTGCTCTCAGGATCTCCACTAACACTCACTTTTCCAAGTTCATCTTCCCAGAAGCGTTCTTAAAGCGGATTCTGATTTCCGGAAATGGCAAGGATACTTTATTTTTAAAACCTCGTTATTTTAACACTGCATCGTTAGGTGTGATTCTGACATCCCAGCAACGTGAAGCTGTAAGCTCACCAGCTGCCATTAACTTATGGTGCGTTTTGTCAGATTTTATGCGGTGTATGTGAACTTAATATAGACTCCATAGCCCTGGAAGCTGTGACTTGTCAGAATTGCAAAATGACATTGTCTGGGCTTGCGGCGCAAATAGCAGTAGCAGAGATTTCAAATGAGGGAGTTTTGGGAGTCTCCGTATCATTATCATCTGGGGTTGTTTAGCTCAGTTTGTCGAGGGCCTGACCCGGACGGAATACCAGGGTCATGGGTGTGATTCTGGCTACTTCCTCGGTCTCAGGAGCTCAGTCCATAAATTTTTTATATGGCTGTCCTTCACTCCAGACCCTGGGGACAGCGTGTCAGGCTGAAGGCAGCACTGCCCCCAGGAAGCCCAGTTGGAGATTGCTCGCGATTCTGATAGGCAGACCAGTAGTTCTCACGCGGCTCACATGTTAGCCACACTTGGGAAGCTTTTAGAAAATACTCCGGCGCCTGGGTGGCTCAGTCGGTTAAGTGGCCGACTTCGGCTCAGGCCACGGTCTCCTGGTTCATGGGTTCGAGCCCCGCGTCAGGCTCTCTGCCGACAGCTCAGAGCCTGGAGCTTTTCAGATTCTGTGTCTCCCTCTCTCTCTGCCTCTCCCTCACTCGTGCTCTGTCTCTTTCTCAAAAATAAACAAACATTAACATTTAAAAAAAAAATCAAGACAATACTCCTACAAGGGGCTTCACGTGTGGATTGTGAACCAGTTGATCTAGCCATGGGTGTTTCTTAAAGCTCCCGAAACGAAGCTCATGCGTGGCCAGGGTTGAGGTGCCCTGGAAAGGGGGTGCACACAACTTGGAGTGGTTTCCTTGTACTTCCTAGGGCTCCTTAATGATGCTCACATCCTGGAAGAGAGAAAAGCCGCCTTTTGGCTACAGTGTTCTATTTGGCTTTTACTATCTGTCATTTGGCTTTTAGGGCATGGCTGAACAGTGCTGGAATCTCTTCAGCAATGAATCATAAGATTTGGTTGTTTTAAACATGAAATGAGGCGTTTTGATAAATCAAGATGCATTTCTTTTAATGTTTATTTATTTTTGAGACAGAGCATGAGCAGGGTAGGGGCAGAGAGAGAGGGAGACACAGAGTCAGAAGCAGGCTCCAGGCTGAGCTCTGAGCACAGAGCGTGACGCGGGGCTCGAACTCACGAACTGTGAGATCATGACCTGAGCCGAAGTTGGCTGTTTAACTGACTGAGCCACCAGGCGCCCCTCAAGATGCAATTTTTTAAATGTTTATATTTGAGAGGGAGAGACAGAGAGAGCGCGTGAGCATGAGCCGGGGAGGAGGCAGAGAGAGAGGGAGACAGAATCTGAAGCAGGCTCCAGGCTCTGAGCTGTCAGCACAGCTCAGGGGCTGGAACTCACCATGGGCTCTTTGGAAGCCCAGTACCGGCTGTGTGGTTGATTGAACTTTGGCACCAAGATTTACGTGAAAATAAAAGAGAAATGATTCTGTTTAAAGGGCCCAGCAGACTGGGGGGCCCTCCTCGCAGACATCTGGGTGGAGAGGAGGCTCGCGGTCACTCCCCTGAGCTGGGGTCTTTACGTTACCTGCTCATTCCTCACTGCACTTCCGGCTCATTCTTGGCTCTTCCTTGGAGCGCGTGTGTTCCTGCCAGGACTTGGGACGACCCATTTCTTCCCTGAAGCCTCGCATACAGCAGAGGGATTCCTGTTGCTTTGCCGCGTCTTCCCCCTTTAGTTTGCTCCGCACAAGCTTGGGCTGGTTTTCACTCTGCCCTTGGCTGCGCTTTGGGGTTTCTTATGTGATCGCCTCGGGCAGGACCTGTCTGTCTTCCTTTTGGAGGCAGAGCAGGCCCTCGGGTGACGCCCGCTGAGCTTGGAAGATGAACTGGAAGGTCAGTGTTGCGGGTAGAGCCGGGAGGGGGACCAGGGAGGGCGGCAGTGCCCTGTTTTTCCTCCGAGGCACTTTAGGTCGTCAGGCGCCAGCTTTTTTAACAGGTGTGCGTTGGGCCACTGCGGTTGAGTGACACACGCTTGTGTGAGTTGTTCATGTTCTGAGCGTCCCCGAGAGGATGAATTCCACATTAAGAGATGGTCCTGACAAGCTCGGCTTTTGACCACGGCCGGAGGGACGGATCGGGGATGAAGGCGTTTACGCCGAAGGAGGGGGAGTTTGCGGGAGGGACGGCAAGTTGCCAGCGACGGGTGGATGCTCGTCACGCGTACCAGGACCACTGCTTTGTCACTCGGTAACACTGCCGTGCGGTGGGGGGGAGCTGAGGGCTTGCTGGGCACTCGGGGCAGCGACGGGCACGGGCCCTGCCCTTGGCGGGCTTACTCTCCGGCAGGTGCTAAGTGGGCTGGAGCCTGTGCGGGGGTGGGGTGGAGGGAGAGGCAAGTTAGAGGACGCCGAGTGTAGGCTGGTGATGCTCCAGGCACCGTGGAGACATACAGGAGGAGACCGGTGTGAACCTTGAAGCCACGACGTCAGGCAGGGCGAGGGGGCCCTCCTCGAGAACCTTTGTCATCGCTGTGCTGGAATCCGAGTAGCAGCTCGCGCTGCAGGCTCTCGGTCCCCAGACGTTCCCACTCCTCTCGTCCCCTTGGTGTGTGACTGCCCCCACTATCCCAAAGCCTCCCAAGAAGCCTGCTCAGCCCTCTTCTCCGGCACTTGCCGGGGTGGCCTGGTCACCTGCTCCTGTCTGCACCCTCTGTGGGGCTCTGCCCCCGCCCCCTGCAGGGTAGGGGATGTCCCTGCCTCCCCACCCGGCCCGGCCTGGCAGGTGCAGCCGCTCTAACCGCTCACTCGTGTTCTGTTGGCGCGAGCCCGCGGGGCTGGGGACTGGACGGGGGGCAGGGCCGCGAGCCCCTGTGGCCAGGTCGCCCCGAAATTCGCGCAGTCACGCCGTTCCCGAGGCCGTCGGGCCGCCGCCTCCGGGGGGCTCCCCAGCAGGCTCCGAGAAAGCCGCGGTCTTGGTTTGAGAGCCACCTCAACTCCGTTAGCGAGGGTCAACCTGTGCCGTGTTTTCTCGTTTCGGTACGAAAGAGCCATCTGTTCTCTTCTGACAACAGAAACGCATCCCGCGTAGATACCCTGTCTTCACTCCCGTTACCTTAAACGGTAGCCAGAGCGGTCCGAGATGAATGAACCCGGCTGTGCTAGGTTGTCGCCCCCCCCCACCCCGAGGTCCCCGAGAGGGTGCTGGGCAGGGACCAGCACCGCCTGCGTCCTGGCCGGGAAGCTGCCAAAACGGAGCGCGCCCCGAACGTCACCTTCCCCGTCTTTCCGCTTCCCAGAGCGCCGAACAGATCGCTGCGCTGTGTAGGAGTTTCAACGACTCGCACACCACCGGCATGGAAGGGCCGAGGGGGACCCGGGAGCCACCTCCGAGGCCGCTGGCTCGCCACCTCTCCGACGCGGATCGCCTCCGGAAAGTCATCCAGGAGCTGATGGACACGGAGAAGTCCTACGTGAAGGTAACGGGCGACTATGCACGTTCTTGCCGGCTCTGTGTCCCTGCGGCGGCCAGCGGTATGTGGGCGGGGGCCCCCGGGTGGCATGCGCCCCGAAGCCCAGCACTCCTGACAGAGCCCCCTGCCCCTCGAAGTGGTGAATTGCCGCTGGGGAGGGGGCGAGGGTGCAGGAGCTGGGAGGGCCCGGAAGGATCGGCTCCTCGGCTCCCTTGGTTACCACGGTAGCTTTCACTATGGAAACATGTTCTGGCTCATCGTCTGCAGTCTGTGGGAAGGGAGTCTCCTGGTGGAGTCGGAGGGGGCCGGAGAGCACTTAGGGGAGGAGGGACTGGGGAACAGCTTGCTCCCAGGAGACTGTTGCTGCGGCCCCCAGACCTGCCTGGTGGAGGTCACTGTGCGGGACAGAGTCCCACGCTGGAGCAGCTGGCCTACACGTGGCCACTCCCACGCCCGTGCGGACGGGTGGTTGCTGAGAATCTTCGGCACCCGAAGCATTCACTTATTTATCTCTGAAGCCCCCAGTAAGTAGTTTGAGACACATTTTTAAAAAGTTTTATTTATTTATTTTGAGAGGGAGGGAGGGAGGAAGAGAATGAGAATGAGAATCCCAAGCAGGCTCCACACTGTGGGTATGGGGCCCCGTGCGGGACTTGAACTTACAAACTGTGAGATCACTACCTGAGCCAAAATCCCGAGTCGGACGCTTAACCGGCCGAGCCCCCCGGGCGCCCCTATAGTTTGAGAGACATATTTTACGAAGAGCACTGGAGCCTGGGAAGGGAAGACAGAGTTCTTTTGCTTTAAGTATTTGCTGAGGCTCGGGTAGTACCGTAAGCTCACTTTGTTGGCCAGTTCTGGAAGCAGCAGGGCACAGGGCAGTGGGCAGAGGATCCCGCCTGGCTTTGCCTCGGTGCAGCGGCCTGGCCTGGGGCCGTCCCCTCCACCTCCGTCCTCCCGGGTCTCAGACGGGCGTGCCCTTGTTCCTGCACAGGTGCGTGCACACACAAACACAGCTGTCACCTTATTTCTCCGCGAGACGGGCCTGAGCTTCCCCTTTCATTAGTGTCCCTGTCATTTTATCTGGGCTTTACTGAAGGCCTCATACACAGGTAGCCCAGGAAAACTACCCAGAGCCCCTTCTTTTTGGTCCCGTAGAGAAGACAAGAAAGCTATGGAGTTGACAGTTTAATTTCACGTCCTGTTACATGTTGTCCTACGGATGATGTGAACGTTGGGGAGCTCAGACTAGATTTCTGGATCTTCCTGTGACCGTGATGGCCTCTCCCAAGCAGCTTTGTGCGCTATAGTTTGAGGCTTCAAGAGACCCTCCGGCCTCTTGAGGGTGGCCATGAGCTTTCCACCGAGATTCAAGGGCAGAATTCCTTGAAGTCCCCTTCCTATTGTCGCTGATGTTCTGTTTTACCGTGAGGCCGCACGGGAGGCTGGTTTCCCTGAGATGCTGGTAGGGTGTAAGGGTGGACGTTGTGGGTGAGCTAGACAGGAAGGACCCTTCTCTCTGCAAGAAACCTGCACTTTGTTCCCTTAGGGCTGCAGCTGTCCGGCCCCGCGGCTCCGCGCCTGCCTGCTCGAGGCGTGTAAGTCCCGCCGAGCAGCACCGGCCGCACGAGGGAAGAGGGCAGCCTGTCACTGTCTCTCACAAAATAACCAGCACCCGGTGCCTCTTGTGATTCGCACACACACCGTTTTTATTTTGTGGTTTCTTTTCGTGGCTGACATTTAACACGGGATTTTACTTGTTCGTCTAACCTTGATCCCTGCATGCGTGCAACTTGGAATTTTCAGCCTTTGTGTGTTCCCTCGAGATACGGTTCAGTAACTCAGCACATCTCCCTGCTCGGAAGCAGTCGCCGGGGAGGATGGTGAGGGAGGAAAGGCCAGGGAGCTGTTCGTTGCGAAATAGTAAAAGGCCTCCCAGGCCTGTCTACTTGCTCCCAGAATCTATGCCATAAGGTTCTGGAGGCTTCGGGCTCTTACGGAAAGCTCTCTGGGTCTCGATTTCTCCATTGTAAAATGAGAGAGCAAAGTAACGGACTTTGTAGTCGGTCACTTCATGTTTTCGTACTCAAAATTCTTCAGAATAAGCGAAACAAGAAAAAAAATCTTTCCTATTACAAAATTATATCCTGGTCTTGGCTTCAAATTATCGCAAATAAACCATTTTGGGAGTTGTATAAATGCCATCAACTCCCACTGTTCCATACTACTGGGGCCCGGTGTACTGGGGGCTCAAATATGGCCTAGATTATAGGCCGCTGATCCTTGGACATTTTTTCTTGCATTTGAATACGGGAGTTCGAAATTCTGCTAATGCGTCAACCCCAGAGTTGAAGAGCTTCCCAGGTCTTGCCCTGTCCTTCTCAGCTCCGTGGTGGGGCTGTCACCATGCTCCCCGGTAGAGAGGAGGAAGCCAGGGGAGCCGGCAGGGGTGCTCATGCCCGACAGAAGTGCCTCGCCAGAGCTCCCCTTCTCCGAGGGGAGGCGGATGCCCCCTTGCACCGGTCCACAGAAGGAGTGGCTCTGTCACCAAGCTGTCTAAGCAGAGTAGGTGACCCAGCTGCTGCGTGTACTGCGGGATTAGCCCGTGTGAATTAGGGCAGAAATGAGAGTAACCAGTTTTATTTATTTAGTTACTTAATTTTTTTAATGTTTATTTTTGAGAGAACATGAGTGGGGGAGGGGCAAAGAGTCTCACTCACACACACACACACACACACACACACACACACACACACACACACACAGAATCCGAAGCAGGCTGCAGGCTCTGAGCTGTCAGAGATCATGAGATCATGACCCATGAGATCATGACCTGAGCCGCAGTCAGACACTTAACCGATGGAGCAGCCTGGGCGCCCCTGATAGTAACCACTTTTAGGGTCATGAATTGCAACAAGACACGATTCCATCATTCCCAGTGGGAGTCTGGAGCTGTGGTCAGGGTTGCTGGAAACTCTTGGGTATTTTGGAGACATGAGTGATAAAGACTCTTTTCTTCCACGTTTCAGGATCTGAGCTGCCTCTTTGAATTATATTTGGAGCCACTTCAGAATGAGACCTTTCTCACCCAAGACGAGGTAATCGGTCCCCCGCCTCCCCCACCCCCCCGCTGTCCACTAATGCACAGGTTAGTCTCTGTTTGCCCTTTAGTGGACCTCCCCGGAGGTTGTATCTCCTGATTCCCCAGAGAACACACGGGACTTAAGCATCGTCAGAGGGACCAAGCGTGGCCTCCTCCAAAGCCCTTTATGTGGCCTCTGCCACGTGAGGCCCAGCGGCAAGAGTTTGTAAATGCAGGACAGTCACGCCCTTTTTGTAGGAAGTGTGGCCCAAAGTCACCCCTTAATCCATGACTTGTTCGTGTTCAATCTCCGTAACGGGTTCTTTGCTACTGACTTCCGTTGTTTACCAGTTTGAATCCTGAAAAGGTTCCATCCGTTTAAAAAGTTAGTTTGGAACTGCCGGAGCTGGAGCTGTAAACCCCTGTGTACAGACGGTGTCCCAGAGGGAATATGCTGCCTTCGTTCAAGGATTTACTTCTGTCTGCTGCTCCCCGAAGGACTGGGGATTTGTTGGGGCGGCCCCTCTCCACCCCCACCGCTGATGCCCTCTGTTCAATCCCGGCCTTCATGTAGATGGAGTCACTGTTCGGCAGCTTGCCAGAGATGCTGGACTTTCAGAAGGTGTTTCTGGAGACTCTGGAGGACGGGATTTCAGCCGCCTCTGACTTGAACACCCTTGAAACTCCGTCACAGTTTAGAGTAAGTAGTTTTGACTTCGGTTTAAAGCAGAACCGGGTGGGCAGAGTGCGGCGTCCGCCCTTGGAAAAGACAGTGTCCCTTGACTGCTGACGAGGTAAGTTCAGTGCTTTCGTTGCACTGTTTTCCTGTGGCAGCTGCTGAGAGGCTACATTTTTACTTGAGTGACCCCTTAAGCAGAAGTCTGGGTGGCCCAGGTTTTGTGGAGTCGGCCTGGTGGCTGACCGTGACCACGCTCTTCATTCAAGTCCGCTGAGGGAGACGTAGGGGGTTTGCTTGCGAAGCGGGAGCGCTGGCCCTGAGTCTCAGCCTTCATTTTCACAAGGTCCTGTGACCCGGGGACATGGGTCCTGTGACACGGGTCGGTGGTACTGAGGGAGCCCTCTCTTCTGTGGAGCCCGTCTCCAGTGTGAGCATCCGGGACCCGGAAGGAGCCCCTCTGGGGAAGGAAAGGAGGCAGACGGTAGGAGGGGGGCAGGGCGGTACCCAGACGAGAGCATTTGTCCCGAGTAAGGCAGAGTTGGCTTGATTAGTTATCCTCTCAGGTCATTCGTATCCCATTCTGTCAGGTGTATTTTTGTAGAACTTTCTTTCTTGCCCTTTGCCTGTAGTGTCAGTAGGCTCGGCTGCCAGAAAGCTTTCAATCAAACTAAAGATCTGTGAGGGAAACACCAGACTGTTCTCCGTCTGCCGTGAAAATGGCACGGTCTTGGGCTTATTTCATTTGGTGATTTTCTGAGGCATTAGTGCTCTGGTGTCTGAAAGATGCCACGGATGCGCTGAAGTAGTCAGAGGCCACGCCAGGGCCGGCAGACGTTGAGTAAACCATGACCAATGTGACTTTTCTTCCCCTTCTAGAAACTACTGTTTTCCCTTGGAGGCTCTTTCCTTTATTACGCGGACCATTTTAAACTGTACAGCGGGTTCTGTGCTAATCATATCAAAGTACAGAAGGTTCTAGAGCGAGGTAAGTTGCTCATACCTTTATATCTGTGCTTTTTTTTTTAAATTGTTAACAGAGTAAATTTGCATGTAATAAGTAGGGATAAATGCAGTTTTGATGGATCCTGCTCCGTTCTTGACCTTGAAATTGAGAGATACTAAAGGGAAACTTTTTGGTTTATTTCAGTTTATTGGCAACAGTGAACATATGTCCTAAGAGCAGAGAAATTTCTTTCCCATGTGTCACTTTGCTGTTCAGTTACTTCTGGATTCTTTTTTACCAAATGCCTTGATCTAAAAACTCAGAACCATGAGCCCCTGGATGGGAACAGAAAACACTATGCTGTTTTGTTTCTTCCTTGTTAACCTTCTCACGCCCAAGGAATCACTGCGCTCATAAGAAGTGTTAACTAAACTTAAAGCCTTTTTTGTGGAACCAGGAAAAAACTAACATTTAACAGCCCACACCCTCTCACTGAAATACCTTTCATCTTTCCACTTAAAAAAATTTTTTTTAATGTTAATTTATTTTGAGAGAAAGAGAGCAAGCTGGTGGGGCGGGAGAGAGAGAGGGAGGGAGGGAGGGAGAGAATGAATCCCAAGCAGGCTCCGTGCTGTCAGCACAGAGCTTGATTTGTGGGGCTCAGTCCCACAACCCATGAGATCATGACCTGAGCTGAAATTAAGAGTCGGACGCTTAACCAACTGAGCCATCCAGGTGCCTCTCTCCACATTTTTATCATCTCACTTTATTCTAGTGGCTTTAACTGAAGATTCTCATTTTCTTTTGTCTGCGTAGACCTGCGTGGTTGACCCCCTCACTCTTCCCTTTTGTGCTGCCATCAGACATCACTCTGTGGAACTGAGAGAGATGCCTGAGTGCGGATTCCTGCCCGGCAGCGGGTCAGGTTTAGGCACACGGCCCGCGCCCTGAGCCACCTGGGCTTTCGGTGACGGGCCAGCCCGTCAGCCCAGCTTGGGAAGTGTATTCAGAGATCTGATGACAGCCGTGACCTCCTTTAGGTGCACGCATATTGTGGGGAATGTTGCGGCACAGTTACCATCACCGTCCCGTTAACCTGCTGTTCGATCCGGTCTGGTAATACCCAGACCAGGAACGCTGCTTTCCCTGAGGTGGCTCTGTTGCTGAGGCTTCTCTCAGTTACACACATATCTTCACGTATGAGAGGACAGTTCTCAAATCGGTCTCTCTCTGAAGATGCTTCTCTGTCCCAGTCTTTGGAACTCTCATACATTTCTGGTGGCAAAGATCAGAGGAGGAAAAATCAGTGATGCCGGCACAGGACTTGAGGTCGTGAGCAGCGACGATTTGGTTTGTATGGAGAACATCAAACAAATACGGGAGTGTCTGAGGCTCGGACAGTACAGGCATCTTATGAAAATGTGTGCAGTCCTGTTTACGTTCATCAGAACCGTCTCCAGACCAGGTTACCAGGCTGCCTGACTTCTCCGGTGTGAACTGGGGGATAAGACCCGAACCTGCTGAAACCTCAACTGTTATCATGTCTTCAATTCCTAGGATCAAAATGACTCCCCCCTGCCCCTACCCCCCCAGGATTTGAATGCCTTCTTTAGAAATACAAGTGGCCTCATGCGGTTCACTCCTGTTATAATTCGCTACCACTCTAGAAGCCAGTGAGTCAGGGCTCTCTTCTGGGACAGAACTCTTCTGTATTTGAACGTTTCTTAGTTGCATCAACACGGCAGTAGCCGCCAAGCTCAGTTCTAAGCCCCCTCCTGTCTGTCATATGCTTCTAAATGGCATTGTCAGAAAGGATCTCACGGTGGCTGTTCAGTGTTTCTTTCTCCAGACCAGGGAACAGACTCTGCGGTATCATGGAAGGCATGTGGAGGTTTATTCCAACACTCTGAGCATTAGCCGGCTCCACAGATGCGCCCCGGCCATTTGGTTTACATCTGGATCTTTCCAGTTTCGTGGAAGACCAGGCTCAGGTTTAAGAAACGGAGTCTCGAAGTGCCTGGAGTCAACGAGCTCCAGCCCAAATCTGCCTCTTGTACTTGTTTAAACAGAGACCTGAGTCCATTGGCGTTTCTTCCCAGAAACGCCCTCTTCTTGAAGGTCAATACACAGTAACGTTAGCGCATCACCAATGCTTTGCTCGGTTCTGAAGGATCGTCTCGCCATCCACTTGGGTAGTCACATTCAAAATGGTACCGCACCTCCTAGAAGTTGTAGGTTTTGCCTTTGGAACAGAACCCCAGGTGAGGGTGTAATTTCATTCAAATTGGCTGAATTCCAAACAGCTGGTCACCCAGGGTCAGCAGGTGGAATCCAAAGCAGCCACTTGTGCATCCGTTGGCTCTCTCGAAACTAAATGGAGTTGGGTTCCCGTGCATGCTCTTCGTGATGTCAGACTCTGAACACAGGGAGTGTTCACTGCCCACAGAGGTGCCATGTGGTGGAAGGATTGGACCGCTCAGAGCTGTGGAGGTGAAGGCAGCAGTGCTTATCAATTTATTTTAAAAGAAAGATAGGGGTACCTGGTGGCTCAGTCAGCTAAGCGTACGACTCTTGATTCGGCTCAGGTCATGATCTCACGGTTCGTGAGTTCAAGCCCCACATCAGGCTTCTGCGTTGACAGTGTGGAGCCTGCCTGGGATTCTCTCTCTCCCTCTCTCTCTCTTCTCCCACCCCCGCCCCACCAAGCCCCCCACTTGTGCTCTCTTGCTCAAAATAAATGAACTTAAAAAAAAAGATAACCCCTAAGTGTACAGAATAAGTAACAATCTGTGCTAGAATGGTGGTGGTGGGGTGGAATACTGGTTTATTTTGCTATGGGATTCTTCTGTAGAACAGGATATAGGATGATACGTTTTCATGGCTTTGTGAATTGGTTGAAACTCACTTTTTAGGCACCTAGAACAATCTCTCTCACGGGTTTGCATGTGAATATGCCTCGAAAGTCAGACATTCCTGCATTTCGACTTGGTGTTCCTCTCTGGCCTATGTAAACTCCCTTTGCCGGTGGGATTGGCCCCAGAGCTGTGATGCCGAATCCGTGTTGACGGCTGGGTGCCGGGCCCACTGAAGCATTTGGGTTTTTGTAAAGAACGCCATTGGGAGGGCTGTTGAATAGACGATCTGGGACTGCATTAGAAACGAAATGAAGTCGGGTTTCGTTCATGCTGCTGTGCTCTTCTAAGGGTCTTTTCCCCACCTGCTTGTAGCTAAAACTGATCAAGCCTTCAAGGCTTTTCTGGATGCCCGGAATCCCACCAAACAGCATTCCTCCACCCTCGAGTCCTACCTCATCAAGCCAGTTCAGAGGGTGCTCAAGTACCCTCTGCTGCTCAGGGAGCTGGTGTCGCTGACGGACCACGAAAGCGAGGAGCACTACCACCTAACAGGTGAGGAGACAGAGGCAGCGCTCGTGAATGCGACGGCTGCCAGCCGCCAGCCCGCGGGGCCCCTTTTCCCGGCCTCATTTCACACATGGCGACTGCAGTTCCTACAGTGACCGAGTGGGGATTAAAGGAGATGATTCACATAAACCACCCATCAGAGCACCTGCTAAGTGGAAAGTGCCCAATCAGCGTTCGCGTTTATTATGAGCGATACTTTGTGTTGCCTCATTCCGAAGAAAACCGGAGTGGAAGGCCAGTCTGTGGTTCTTCGTTGTAATGACTAGATGGCAGTGGGCTGTTTGAGCCCTACCTGAGAAATGCTTCTGTTAGTAAGGAAAGCCTCGAGTCCTGGCCGGAATCTTGAACTTTCCACTGTTGGTAGGCGTTAAAATTAATAAAATGACTATTTCCTACTTTTCAGAGGCACTAAAAGCGATGGAAAAAGTAGCAAGCCACATCAATGAGATGCAGAAGGTCTATGAGGATTACGGGACCGTGTTTGACCAGCTCGTGGCGGAGCAGAGTGGAACAGAGAAGGAGGTCAGTGGGACTTCCGGATCCTGAGAAGCGTGATGCGTCTGTTCACTGAATCCGTTGGCACCGTCCAGAGCAGGCCGCCCTGTTCGGGCTCTCCTGGAGGAGGGTGGGCCTAAAGTTTCTTTGATCTAAGTGCTTACGATAAGCCACACCATTTAAGTGTAAATGTGACATAAAATTCATGACACCGGTTTGAGAATGTAACCTTATGTCACCTTAACACTGTACAGAAGAAACTAAATCTCATTTAGCTCGTCCCTCCCTCCTCCTCCCTTTCCTTGGGGCAGGAGGCAAGACTAAGTCCAGAGGCCGGTGCATCTATGGAGGGCGCAAGCTGGCAGAGACCGGATGAGTACACGGGTGGGGGCCAGCCTGTGGGGAGAACCTAGGGCTTTTCCGCTTTTCTTCCTTCGCATCTGACGTCGGTGGCCACCTCCTTACTTACAGAACTAGTTGTCCCTAGAGTGACACCATCTCTCTCTCGCTCTCTTTTCTGGCTGATTACTAAATCAGGATCTTGAGCTTTTAAAGGCTACATGTCAGAGGGAACATAGTTTCACTAGAAAAAGGCAAGGACAGAAAACAACTGGAGTTGAGTTTATTAGTTTCAGCGCTGGTGCCTCTTGATTTGCAGGCCCAGAGCAGTTTGTGGCTCGGGGCTGGTGAGTGCACTAGAGCCCCGGGTAAATATTAGGACAACGTAGGAGAGCCTTGAACCGTCAGGGAATTGGCACCGTGGAGTAGGTCACGAGGCGTCTCACCCACATACGACGTGTGCACTGAACAAAATGCCTTCCCAGTTAGCTTCTTTTTCAGACAGTTTGATGCGTCGCTCGTATTTTCAAAACTTACGCTATTTGAAGGCCCCATGTTTACAGGGGCCATAATAGATCGAGGGTGCTTGCATTTTGGCAGTCACCGGTATACGGTGACACACGTATGTGACTCACACTCCCAACGGGAGACGGTCTACCCCCCGCGGTCTCCATGTCTTTGTCTCTCGTTTTTACGAAACAGGTGACAGAACTTTCCATGGGGGAGCTTCTGATGCACTCTGCAGTCTCCTGGTTGAATCCATTTCTGTCTCTAGGAAAAACCAGAAAGGACCTCGAGCTCACAGTGTTTGGTTAGTATGCCATTCGAAAGCGCATAAACTTACAAAAGGCTGGTGGCGATGAAGAACTTCCTAAAGCCGCCAGGCCGGCTAACTCCGGGTTTCCAAGAGTTAGAATCACTGTCATAAGGGCTTTTGACTTCACAGAGCCAGCCTCCAGCCGTGTGAAATGCTGTCACTTGTGCATACTCATGATCTTGTTCTCCCTTCTGCTTGCCTTAGTGGTTCTGGCCAAATGTTACAGGAACAGATCTCTTGAGGCTATTTTGAAACCTGTTATCTTAATTGTTTGCCGCTTTTCAAAATGTCTTAATTCTCACTGAGACCCAGTATAGACCCTGTGTTCTCACCGACATGAACACCATGTCCTCAGAGTTCAGTGAAATAAAACAAGAATTTTTTAAAAACTGCCAAGATCTACTTCAGATAACCATTCTTATTTTTTAAATGTTTATTTTGAGAGTGCACCCGTGTGAGCGGCAGAGGGTGGGGTGGGGGGGCGGGAAGAGAGAGAATCCCAAGCAGGCTCTGTGCTGACGGCACGAAATCAAGAGTCGGACACTCAACCTACTGAGCCACCCAGGCGCTCAGATAATTGCTTTTAGGTGAGCGGGTATACCTGCGTAATTCAAATATGACCAGAGGGAAGTATCATTTATTCACTCCTATGCCGGCATAATGGGGTCTTGGAGCTTCAGAAGTTTGAAGAGCTTTGTTCTTTTAAAACATTCAGCTTCGGGGTACCTGGGTGGCTCAGTCGGTTAAGTGTCCAACTTTGGCTCACATCATGATCTCACGGTTCATGAGTTCAAGCTCCACTTCGGGCTCTGTGCTGACAGCTTGGAGCCTGGAGCCTGCTTGGGATTCTGTGTCTCCCTCTCTCTCTGCCCCTACCGCACAAGTGCCCTGTCTCTGTCTCTCAATAATAAACATTAAATTTTTTTTTAAATTTGGATATTTCCCATAAATGTCCAGATTAAAAAAAAAAACAAAAAACCATTCAGCCTTACTTAGTTCAGCCGTGGGACAAAATCCGTATAAAACAATGAAATACTTTTCTTTTTCTTTTCCTTTCCGTAGTCTTTAAGAGAGCTGTCATACTGGTTTATAAAGAACACTGCAAACTGAAGAAGAAACTGGTAAGACGAGAAGTAATTGTGATCACAGCCACCTTTCCAGGGCTCCCTGTTCCTAGCAGCGTTGAGCTGAGAAGCCTGCTCAGTGCCACGGCCTCGCTTGACTAATGTGACTTATTCCTGGGGTGACTAACCTGCTCAGATACTCAGGGTGACTTCTTGTTCTCCCCACAAATGACATCTGTTTTAAAAGAAGATAGAGCCAAATAACCTGTGCTGGGCTTACGTAGAAAATCAGCTTTCACATCCCTGAAAACGGCCCATGTTTGTTCCGTACACATGACAGACCGCGTAACTTTGGTTGTTTTCAGATCACTTTTACCTTGGCTCAAAACAAACCCAACAGCTTAGCTGAATCAGCTAATAAGCCATCAGAGTCATGACCGTTCAGAGGCAGTGAGGACACAGAAGGCTTGGTTGTCATTCTTGCTTGTCTAGAAGTCTCTGTCCCCCTAACTACGGCTCTGCCCTCTCCCCGAGCACTCCGTGAGCTCTTTGAGAACTGGGAGCACACCCGACCCGATCTGGTTCTGCACCCTGAACACTCACACAGCCGCGGCAGCCCTGCCCACGGGGAGACCTTAAAGTCTGCTCCCTGCACACCTCCTCTCTGGGTGAGAGCATGTTCTAACACCTTTTGGTGGGGGGGGCGGCTTTTATATTCCAGCCCTCGAATTCCCGGCCTGCACATGGCTCTGCCGACTTGGATCCATTTAAATTTCGCTGGTTGATCCCCATATCCGCGCTTCAAGTCAGACTGGGGAACACAGCAGGTAATTGGTTTGTGCAGTAGGATGCCAGGAAAAGGCATTTTAAAGAGACTTGTTTGCATCGTGGAATGAAAAACTAGGAGAGAACTTCGGGGATAATTTTTGGGTTTTATTTTATAGGCAAGGGAAACGAGGACAAGAGAGGTTGTTCTGAATTTTTTTTAACACACTTTTGCGGAAAGTAAATGCCAACGGATGGCTTTTCTTTGCCAAATATGTCTCTTCATCGTTTCCTTATCTTCACTCAGTGGTTTTCCACTTTTCTGCCTAATATCCTTGATGCCCTGAAATTTGTTAAAGAAAGGTCTACAAATTTAAGTTAAAAATATTTTGAGATCCCAGAAAATTCCTTAAGATTAAGCAGTATTATATGTGATATTAGAAAAAAAAAACCTTCAACCTTAGAGAATGTTCAGAGATCCTGTGAGACTAACCATGTTCTGGTGACAATGCCTCTGGTGACAGGACCGAGAGGCTGAGGCACGTGGCGATGTCCTGGGTCCCTGTTTACTTTTTGTGTGAACTGCTTACCTTTCCTAGAACAACTGACTTTGGGCTGGCCTCTTTTACCCCAAGTCCCTGAGCACAGCCCTCACGCGGTTCCTTCCAAGGAATACAGTGAATGGAAGGGGGTTGAAAAACAGGATCCGTTTAATCTGTTGCCCAGAGAGGTGAAATCCAGGGCCAGGGAGAAAGCACATTCAGATGGATGGAAAACTTTACCAGGAAACATAAAAAGTAACTAAAAAGTGCTTAACTTTTGAAAACCATTTGTGAAAAGTCCAACATAGAATGAGCCACGGAAGAAAATGAGGAGACTCGGGACAGGGAATATTTGACTTGAGTCTTTGTCAACTTCACATCTTTGGCAGAGTTGCAGACCCTTGTCTCCTCTTCCACAGGGACAGAAAATAATTCCATATGGGAACTGATCCATACGAAGTCAGAAATAGAAGGACGGCCAGAAACCATCTTTCAGCTGTGCTGCAGGTACTACTGACTTCCAAAAAATACAGCCGATGGGAATAAGGCCGAATTACACTCTCTCAAAAAAGGGAGTTTAATTTTAGTGCCCTCCTGAATTTTGATGACTTCAGGTTCACACCCAGCCTCCCCCGACACGGCAACTGTGCCTGTAATAGAACACGTTGATTAAATATACATCCAAATCTTAGTGCTCCAAGGCACTTCAAGAACCATCACTTTTCACTCTAAAAAGAGTGTAAGTGAGGAGACCACAGAGCCCACAGGCTGGGTAACTCGCTGCCGGTCTGTCCTGAGCTCAGATGACACCGAAGGACAGGGCACGTGGGGTCGGAGCATGACACTGGACGTTACTGCTGTTTTCCCTTCTCTCTTCACCAGTGACAGTGAGAGCAAAACCAGCATCGTCAAGGTCATTCGATCTATTCTGAGGGAAAACTTCAGGCGTCACATAAAGTGTGACTTACCCCTGGAGAAAACGTGCAGGGATCGCCTGGTACCTCTTAAGAACCGAGTTCCTGTTTCGGCCAAGTTAGGTGAGAACTTTGCCGGCCTTGTGTTTATTCAGAAAAACATTCTGAGCTTCTCTGCAAGGATGTATGTTCTTGCAACACGGCGGTTAAGTCCTCCTCGCGTTGTACAGTCCCCGGGGGAGCTCCGTAAGCTCTGAAGCAGACGCCCGAGTCCACAGAGCGGTGCGAGAAGGTGGTGGCAGTTGTTTTCCTTTTAAGACACCTCAACTGCCTCCTGCTCCCAGACCTTGTAGTAAACTGTAACCACTGCCAAGCCCAAGGCCTCATCTTCCCTCCAGCTGACACAGCTCAGAATCACCATCTCACCTGTTTCTTCCACCGAGATGGGGGCGGGGGGGGGGGGGGGGGGGGGGGGGGGGGGGGGGGGGGGGGGGGGGGGGGAGGCGTGCTTTCGTCACCACCATCATCCCGGTGCTCAGAACGGCTCAGGGCATCTAGAAAGTCATTGCTTGATGAACCGAGATCTTCTGCTCATTCTTATCCGCTCAGTGAGTCAGCAAGTAAACATTCCAAGTCATGCTCTTCTTCAGCTTTCTGCTTGCTTTGTAAGATTTCAGTGTTTTCACCTTTCTTCATTAACTATTTTGTTAGCATCTTTGATCTCGTGTGTAGTCTTTTAAAATACTTGTCTTTATTTTGGTCCCAATTTGACCTCTTCAAATTTACTGCATACTTTCTTTTTGTTTCCCTCCATTGCCAAAATAAGCTATATCCATCAAAAACGCACTTATTGTCTATAGAAACCTCACGGCTGGGAGCTCCCCTTTTCCCTGCAACCCAAGAGGGAGGAATTAAACACACACAAATGATTATTCATATTAAATCTCTGAAAGTTGGCTAGAAATGCCAACAGAGACCGTTGTCATGAGTGATAAAGGGCGTTTTTCTACTTTTAATTGAGCAGCAAGGGAAATAAGGGGAGACAATAGGCACAGAAATGTGGTAGAATCTTGGTTATCAAATTACAAAGCACTTTAGTGGAAGAAAGGAACATAGGTTTTATTAATAACTTTTTCATGTATCCATTGGCAGACTGAGAATCCTAGCCCTTGTCACAGTTTATAGCTTGTTGTTCTGGCTAAACAACTGAGCTCCGGTAACTGGTCATCTAAAAATGCCAAACCCTCACGGCACCTGGGTGGCTCAGTCGGTTAACCGTCCGACTTCGGCTCAGGCCATGAGCTCACGGTTCGTGGGTTCGGGCCCTGCATCGGGCTGTGCACTGACAGCTCGGAGCTGGAGCCTGCTTCGGATTCCGTGTCTCCCTCTCTCTCTGTCTCTGCCCCTCCCTCTCTCCTGTTCTCTCAAAAATAATAATCATTTAAAAAAGTTATTTTAAAAAATGATCATTAAGAATAAAAATGGCAAACCTTCCAGCATAAAATTTCAAAAAACCTATGTAAAAAATTGGCAGTATCTATTTTTTTTTTTTTTACCCAAGTCCCAGGATAGTTGCTAATAGAAGTGAGATGGTAAAATCTAAAGGGATTAAGATGTTAGTGCTTAAATGAGCAATGCCGAAATTACGCATTGTGGAGTCTGTTTCTCGATCATTGAAGGGAAGCGTGATTTTCTCATTGCAGCTTCCTCCAGGTCCTTAAAAGTCCTCAAGAACTCCTCGAGCTGCGAGTGGCCCGGCGAGCCCAGCAAGGGCAGCTCCCTGGACTCGGACGAGGGGAGCCTGAGCAGCAGCACGCAGAGCAGCGGCTGTCCCCCGGCTGGGAGCTCGCAGGACTCCCCACAACCCCCACCTGCAGGCCCGGCTGACTTGTCCCCCAGCCTCATCAAAGAGAGCGACATTCTGAGCGATGAGGAGGATGACTACCATCAGACCCTGAAGCAGGGCAGCCCTACCAAAGACATTGAAATTCAGTTCCAGAGACTGAGAATCTCGGACGACGTGGACGCGAACCCGGCCGACCGGCGGCCCAGAGGCGAGCAGCCCAAGCTGGTCCGCGGGCACTTCTGCGCCATTAAACGAAAAGCCAACAGCACCAAACGGGACAGGGGAACTTTGCTCAAGGCACAGATCCGTCACCAGTCCCTCGACAGTCAGTCTGAAAATGCCAACCTCGATCTCAGTTCTGTCCTGCAGCGAGAATTCAGTGTCCAGAGTTTAACATCGGTGGTCAACGAGGAGTGTTTTTATGAAACAGGGAGCCACGGAAAGTCATAGTAGGATTTCCGTCCGACGCGGGTTAAATGGCTTGTTTTACCTTTAAAACTGGTGGTAAAGTGGAAATTGCAGAAAAACTATTCGTTATTGGGTTTTGTGCAGCATACGTTTTCCCACGAAATAGTTGTAAAGATTTAAGTTATTTTAATTTATTGTAGATCAGAAAACTAGATTAAACTGATCAGAATCTGTAAATTACTTAGTTTATATCCCTTTTGAGCAGGTATCAAAAATGACTTAGGATCCTTAAAATTGCAGTCTAATTTATGTGGAAAAAGATGGAGTTGTGATTAATAATTTTTAAAAGGTCATTTCCCCCCCTCCCCAATCCTCTGGGCATTTTCTTTGAGCTGTTAGTTTTTGCTTTATTTAAAGCATATTTATTTTAATGTGGGTAAGGGGCACAATGTGCAGATACTTCATTTTTGTAAGGTTGTAATAGATGCTGTTTATACCGAACATGTCCTATCTATGCAGTATATATATTAAAAGAAAGCTTGTACTGTATGTTATTTGATTATTTTCTCTACCGAGTTGTACAGTAAAAGGGAAGTAAGTCACACCTGGTCATCGTATTTTTATTGTCCTTCCAAAGTGGACCAAAGAGTGTACCTCTGAGCAGCTCAACTTTGGGAAAACCAACATCCGCAAAGCTGCTTGCCACCGAAGCGGCAGCTATCGTCGGGATCTCTCCTTGTCGTTCTCTCTTTCCTGATTTTTGCTTTTATTTTGCTTGAGTTCTTCTCTGAAATTATAAGTAAAGAGGTGTGGGTCTTCATCACACATTTTCCGGTACACATCACAGAGGCTCTTAAAATGGGAGACAGAGAGCTGGCTGGGTCGAAGGGTAGGGTCCACGTCCGCCAACTCTAACAGTTTCTCAGTGCTTTCCACGCGCTGAACTTCAGGGAATAACATCCTGAGAAGAGAAAATAATCAGACTGACTTGGGGAACTCTGTAAGTCATGATGCCTCCTACTCTACATCGTTTTGACAACTGACCACCGGAGGGGCTGGAAGAGACAGCCGGCTGGCTTGGCTGCAGGGCTCCGAGCCGGTGGGGAGGGGTCTCGGTCTTGCCACCAGGCAACAGGTACGAGGGACACTGAAGGCAGAGCTAATGTGACCTGTGCCATACATCCCCGTGGGAAGGTATTTTCCACAGCTCCATCAGTACAAGTATCGTTTAAGGTGACATCTGCTCAGTTCCATTCTTAATGTTTGATTTGCCTCATTTTTAAAAAATTTGCCACATATCTTAATATGAAACTTGTCTAATTTCTCCTCTATAATTTGAACTTAGCCTTGGGAACTCTACACCCCCCAGAAAATGACCTTGACCTTACTGTGTAAAGTCAGAAAACCGGTGACGTGAAAATGCAAACAGATCATTCTTTTAGATTTACCTTCAGGCATCTTTAAAATTGATTTGAAGTATGTATTTTAAACTTCATCTAACCAAGCCAGACCACTGTTTTAAAATGAATGACAAAACTGACTGAAATGTTGGAAAGCTACCCCTGGATTTTTTTTTTTCTCTCAACAGTTGGAGGCTCTACGGAGCTCAGAGGTCATGGCCGGCTGAGATGGGAGTTTTCCTTATAGGCTCATGGTCCTGGAGTGAAGAACTCCACGTTCCCTACAGTGTCCGGGCAAGCTGTGATCTCGGGGTTTCAGTTTCATATCAAGGAGGGGTTTGATCACTCGGGACCAATTTGTGGGTGTATATGACTAAAGGACACCAAGAGGTCCAAGTGGGTCACGCTATTTGGAGTTCCTATCCGCATAGGGGACTGTGTATATGAAATGAAGGGGCCCATCACCTAGCTTGGAAACACAAGGGCCAGCTCTGGACTCAGGCCAATTTCGGGATTTCCAAAAGTAAAATGTGCTTTTTGTGATTTTTTTTTTTCCCCTCCACGAATCAGGGCCATCACATAAAACTGTCCCAGTCACAGCCTGTGTGAAGGGGAAGCATCCCAGCAGGGGCCCGCGGCCTTCATCGCAGCCAACACTGGGCCAGCTCCGTTCCTTCGGTCTCCGCTCGAGAGGCAGGACCTGTACGGTGATGTAAAAATCCTGGCCTAATTGGAGTTCACAAACGGCAAGCCCAGGATTGAACATCAGTCCGCTCAAATCCTCAGGAGTGAGTTTTTGGGGACAGTTTCAGGATGCAGCTGGCCAGCCGTACCTGAAATATGTGCTAAGGGGACACTTCACAAAACCAGAAAAAGAAGTGGAGCTTTTCAAATGAGGGGGATTTTAGAAAATGGGAGATGCATGCCTACCAGGCCAGGCCCAGTTTTTAAACACACACACACCTTCCTGCCTTACTTGGGCCGAATTAAACATTTTCTTGGCTGCCACCAGACACAGAATACCACTGTGCTCACGTCAGGGCCTTTGGGGGCACGTGGACTGTAAGCCGCCACGTTCAGGCTGCGTTTGGGGACAGTGGCCACGTGCATGTGCAGAGCAGTGAGCACGGCGGAACAGAGGGGCTCCCCATTAAATACTTGGTGACGCCATTCTGGCTGCTCCAGTGTTAACTTACCTTCTAGTTCTCATTGTGTCGTACAGCAACTTGATGGAAAGAAAGCACTTAGAAAACCCCAGTAGTGCGAGAATACATTCGGTCTTCATTCCACGTTTCTGACACAGAGCTTTTAAAACCTTTAAATTTCCGGATGGGGTGATAGCATATTTGTGATTACTAATAAAACTCCTTTTCAACCATACCTGAGTTTATGCTACTGGGGGGCTCCTGGCGGGTCCCCCGATTGCTTCAGGATGGGGACAGGTGCCAAAGGAAACAAGCCTGATCAGAAGGTTGGAACTTTCAGTCTCACCTCCCCCACCCCCTCCGGGCCCCCCGGCCCCCCAGGTTGAGGAGAGGGGCTGGAGACCAAGCTCCATCACTAGTGGCCAGTGACTGTACCAGCTGTGCCTAAGGGAACATCCGGAGAGCCCTTAAATGATGGGGTTCACAGAGCTTCCGGGTTGGTGAAAACAGTGAGGTGCTGGGAGGGTGATGAGCCCAGAGAGGAGCCCTTGGCTCCCACCAAACTTCGCCCTACATCTCTTCCCTTTGCTATCCTTGAGTTCTGTCCTTTATGGTAAGTTGATAAGTGAAAGGGTTTTCCTGAGTTCTGTGAGCCATTCCAGCAAATTACTGAACCTGAAACGGCAGGGGTAGGGGGTGGTCACACAAATCCCAGAAATCCCCAATTCATAGCCTGTGGGTCAGAAATACAAGGGGGCGGGGGCGCCTGGGTGGCTCAGTCGGTTGAGCGTCCGACTTCTGCTCAGGTCATGATCTCGAGGCTTGTCAGTTCAAGCCCCGCGTCGGGCTCCGTGCTGACAGCTCGGAGCCTGGAGCCTGCTTCGGATTCTGTGTTTCCCTTTCTCTCCGTTCCTCCACTGCTCACACTTGATCTCTCAAAAATAAACGTTAAAAAAAAAAAAATACAAGTGGCAACCTGGGACTTACGACAAGCATCTGAAGTGGGGGTGGTCTTGTGGCCCTGAACCCTTAACCTGGGGGGTGTATGCGGCTCCACGTCAGTGTCAGACCTGACCTGTAGGACGCCGGCTGGTCGACGTCACGCATACAGGTCAGAAGTGTTGAGCGTAAAAGCCAGCTGGCACGGTCGACCCTGACGGAGGACTCCTGGCCCCCGCAAGGCAGGTCATTACCGACCTGTGGCTGTTTCAGGCTGTACTGATGCTGGAGCCATGTGTCCGTGGCCCCAGGATTCAGTCACAGTTTTGCTGTTTCCTCGTGGCAGTCAAGCTTTGCTCACCTTAAGAGGACCATTCACAGACAGCTTGAAGAATCCTAAAAACGAAGTTCTTAATCTTTGAAAGTATTAGGATTTTAGAAAGCACGCGGCTGAAAGGAAGAAGGCATTCTTACCCCAGGCCTCGATAGCAGTATTTCCTTCGGAACTGAAATGCGTTCTGCACGACTCTCTCCACCAGCTTGAATGGCTGCTCTATCCTGGGCCGCGTCAGGGGCGTGAAGTGCACCACGCCCACGTCCACCTGCGTCGTGAGCAAAGGTACGTCACTCCGTGGCACGGGAATCACGTGACTAAAACAACTCATCTTAGTAAAACACAGGCGGATGGGTGGTTGACGGCGTAGTCTTCGTAAACCTTTACAAGGGCTTCGCCTTCGTCCACGGTAGGCAGGTGAGTTGCTGCGCTTGGCACTGAGCTCAGAGCGATCACGGTTGCGTCTGCTCTGTAAGCACATCCTGTAGACCTGTGCTTGAGGATCACTTGATCTCAAAATGGAGTTTTACAATGGCCTTTTCAGATCAATCCAAATAATCATTAAAGCCAGTAGGCAGATAACAGCTTTAGAGGGTTTTATTTAGCTCTGGAATGAGAAAAAACAAGCTGCAGCAGCAGTTCTATGAGGCTGGGCTTCGAAACAGAGAAGAGAAGGCAGATGGCCCCCCAGGGACCACTTAGTGCTAAACTCCCCAGAAAGGGAATCAGTTAGGACACCACTTATTTTGGGTACAGACACTGATTAATCAGCTGTACTGAATTCACGGTCGTCATGTGCACATCACTTTCGGGAGCAACTTTAAATGTCCTGGGAGGTCCAGGCAGGGTTAAATAGGAAAAGGAAACCACCAAAATGCCACTGTGTTGGTCTATAATATACCCTGTCTTAGTCTAGAACTGGGCTCATGGTCATTCACAAGTATATATTCAGAATAACAAAGGAACAATAGTATTGAAAGCAAAGACGAAGACGGAAGTGGAGTCAGAGCAGTTGCCACACACAAAAATGCCCGACAGAGACCATGGCCTGACAAGTGGAAAGTGTGTTCATAATCTACAAAAGCCTTCGTCTCTGAGGAGTTGTTCAATTTGCTACTTAGAACATCACACAGACTCTCAGAGGCTTAAAGTCTAGCAATTTATGGAGGGGGGGTGGTACCACTGCTTTTCAAAAGGAATTCATTCTATATTTTTTAAAATTCCACAGGGGTTATCGTGTTCTCCTGGGAGGCCTTGCTTCTAAACATCCTTGTGGCTACAAAACTCCGCAAAATTGGCCTGCAGTCTGTGAGGATGGAGTGTTTTCAGGGTGGAGGGGAAGTACTCGCATACGACGTGAGACCGCGTGGACGGGACCAGAGAAGGCGTGCGTGGACCGACAGTTATTCCGCTTCAGGGAGGGACTATCTGTAATGTTAAGTGTTCTCATTAAATTTTTAAGTTTTTCATATTGTGTTCTATGCGTCGCTTCATCAGTTTCTCCAAGTTCAGCAACAAGTACTATAGAAAACAAAGGCTTGGTTAAAAGGCCAGGACTTCTGTAGACCTGCACAAAAACACCAACGAACAGGGCCCAGGGGTGTTGGAGAGGGCACTGGAGAGGATAAAGACTGGGGGGGTGGCTTCAGGGTGGACAGGAGCACGTCAGTCATCAGGGAGGGAAAGATGTGTGTGTCTGTGGCAGGAAAAAGAATCTGAGCGGAGGACAGCGGAAGAAGCCGAAACACTATAATGACTTTAAAGGTCAAAGCCTCTGCTCACAAACTCTGAAAGATCCATCCCCACCTTTCCTCCTATTTATCTGGAACGGAGAAGTGAACCCAGCTGTCCAGGAAGGTTCTAGGCTTCGCCCCATCACTCTATACTTCTCCATACCACTTCCCCCCACTGAGCCCACTGGCATCCGCCCCTCTCTCTCTGCCGGCCTCCAGGACTCCACTCTTCCAGCCCTTTTAGGCCAGTTTGTCCATGTGACAGTCTGTCCTGACGGAGCTCTTCACAGCCCCCAGCTATGAGCCAGCAGCCTGCCTGTCTCCAGGGAAGCTCAGCTTTTAGCAAATGGGGTACAATCTAAGCCCTAGCTAAGCCCAGGCCGTTATCAAAACTCTGTCATGTTCAAATACAATAAAGAATAAAGGCACCGATACAGGGATAGATGCAGTCCCCTTCCAGTACAGAAACTGCCACCTCCAGCTTCTTTGGATTTTAAAATTTGGTGCCGCCTTTTGGGGGCACCTGGGTGGCTCAGTCGGTTAAGCATCCGACTTGGGCCCAGATCACGATCTCACGGTTTGTGGGTTTGGGCCCTGCATCGGGCTCTGTGCTGACAGCGCAGAGCCTGGATCCTGCTTCGGATTCTGTGTCTCTCTCTCTGGTTCCTTCTCCGCTCACACTCTGTCTCTGTCTAAATAAATGTTAAAAAAAAAAAAAAATTTGGTTTTCTTTTTGCCCAATTTTATTTCTTTGAGATACAGTTGGTGTTTGCAAATATAGAAAATGTCTTACGTTGGTTTTCCATAAAGTCTTAAGCCCTGTACAAATACAGCAGCACCCTAACTGTAGCGGACTTCTAAAGATCGAATGTAGTTCTGATAGTTGAGATGGCTAACGGTATATCCCAGCTAAAAGAAAATACCTACTCACAATCAAATACAGTTCCTATCCAGTGGAGGACCCTGAGAAAATGGCCCTTCCAGTAATGTGTCCTGCTTCCCTGCAAGACCTCCTGTATCGCCCTCTTTTCCACCCCCACCCCCAAAAGCACTTTTCGGAATTACTGTGAATGATGGAGCCCATTGTCTCTAGAACTACAGGAAAGCTGCTTGGTAACTAGGGTAACAGATACAAAAATGCTTTTTACTTATATTTGAATGCTTATTTAAAAATTGCAACCATTATTTTTCCTTCCTTGAATTTTTAACTCTATTAAAGGGCTTCATTGCAAAAAAGCAACCAGTACGTAGGCACTAGATGCCCTTAACAATTCTATTTTATTGTTGCCAGCAGCTTTCCAAACTCAGTCTATCAGGATACCAAAATGACCTAAGAAAATTTCAAACGAAAGGATTTGTAATGAATCTAAAATATCTGCCTCTCAAATCCACTCAAACATCAATGCTGTACCAAGCTGAGACGATGCTTCTCAACGTCAGCAGCCGGGGCTGCACGAGGCTGCAGGCTGAAGTTCCATTTTCCAGACCAGCGTGTCTAGGGTGTGACTGGTTATGACACTGCGGGAGACCTGGGATAAGAAGCCAGGAAATCTCCAATCTCAGACGTTGCCAACTCAGATCCCGAATCAACAGGAGAACGGAGAATGCCGAAGAATGGGCCGCCCAGCTCTTGCCGGGGGATCCTAACAGGGCGGAGAGCTACCTAACTACCCCGGGAAAAGGCACAGAAAACAACAGGAGCCATTCCCTAAGAAAGGGTCCTCCACACTTCCGATGGCATTCGAGACCATTCAGGGGCAACCCAGTGGAAAGGGAAAATGTTCAGGAAGTAACAATTTATAATTGGCTGAAGTGTAACCATACCTGGGAGAGAACAGAAGGGCGAGAGAAAAAGGGCTACAGGGAATTGCCGAGAAGCCTTCAAGAGCAGTAAGAGAAGGGTTCAAAGGTCAAGGTGGTACTGTCTCAGATTAGCATAGCTGGGAGTGGGAAGGGTCTGGCTGGATCCTACACCCACCAGTGTCTGACTCTTCAGGTCCCTGCACTGAGCTAACGACAGCCTCCAGTCGCAACTTCCTCAGACAAGGGTGACAGAGCGGCAAGTCGTTAATGCCTAGGATACTAGAATTACACGTTTTGTAGAAAAACACTTACAGATACAAATGTCTATCAAATTTCCTATAATTGGTTTATTCTGCCTGTAATCTTGGTCCCAAGGCCAACTTAAGGACAGAATTTCAGTTTTAAAACCTTAAAATACAAACACTTTAACAGCATTCCAGGTGTTCTGAACCCAACGTACTTGACATAGGCTGACACACTGTTATACCTACAAATCTTTCTTTAAAGTTTATAATTTGTGGGGCACCTGGGTGGCTCAGTCGGTTAAGTGGCTCAGGTCATGATGTCACAGTTAGTGCGTTCCAGACCCGCGTCGGGCTCTGTGCTGACAGCTCGGAGCCTGGCGCCTGCTTTGGATCCTGTGTCTCCCTCTCTCTCTGCTCCTTCCCCGCTTGCGCTCTGTCTCTCTCTCTCAAAGAATAAACACACACATTTTTTGAGTTTATGATTTGTATTTTCTATAACAGTATTAATTTCTCTAGAAGTTCCACCCCACCTTTTTTTCCTCCTTTATATTTTTGAATGTTGTTTTTTCTCTTCCTCCTTGGAATCACAAAGCAGTCACAGTACTTCCTCTCAAGAGTATGAGCTCGAAGGACAGTGAGCTGGGAGTATGATGAGGAATTAAGGGTAAGAAAGACACACCCACGGGGGGGGAGCAAATGGAGAGAGTGCTTTACAGTGTAAATTATGCATGTAAATGTATGCATGTCAGTGACTGTATGTATGTAGATTGTGCCTAGTCGGAACAAGAAGAGCAAGAGGAGTCTCTTGGTCCCAAAATAGGGAACCCGTTTCAGGGAGGCGAATGCTTAATTCTAAACAAAGCACAAGAGGGACAGGAACAAACACTGGATTGAGATTTTCTGTTACATTTAACTTGGAGTTCCTGGACGATCATGGGGAAAACCCCTAAAACCATGAGCTTTCCCACCAACCATGACTTTGGGGTTTGTGAAACAGCATCTGGAGGGGCCCTGCTCTCTGGGGCCGCAGGCTGGTAGCACAGGGGCCATCACGAGGGCCCAGCCTCTGCTTTCGCAGCGCCTCAGTGCGATCCGTTCTTCAGGGACAATGTCAATCCAGGCGGACTCACGAGACACTCAATGAGGACTGCTGCTCTCGAAAATATTAAAAGACTCATAAATGAACACAGATGCAAATATATTAACTCACAAGGAGCCACGCTGCCGAAGAGACTAGGGGCTATCTTCGAGTTACCTTGTCACTACCTTCCCCTATGTGCGTATAAAACGACAAAAACTACCCCTAAATGCAGGCCCCGTTACTATCAGAAGACCGCGGAGTGACACGGATGGGAGCAAGCATATACGGACTGGTGGCCGCCATGGTCGCTGGTGTCTGCCCTGAGGGCCTGACCTCTCACTGGCACAGGTGGGGCCGGACTCTCCCGGTCCATGTGCTACGAGCACCCAGACCGACGCGTTCCTTG